TATATACTCCGGAATAATTTAATAATAAAGTCAGATAATTTCAAAATGTTTTTCCTTATTCGAATCCTGCCGGTTAACATATTCACATCAGTGTTTGAAATAATTATTGGAGGAAAATATTTTCAAAACACATTATCTTTTTGCTTTGCTTTGTTTAGAAGTAGAACAAAAAGCAATACAAATTTTTATTCGAAAACTAGTTTGCAACAAATTCTTTCTGAGCTGGCCTACCTGGCAGTGGTCTCTACTCTAAACCAAGACAAAAGTGTTTAGAAACCAAACCATTAAGATCTTTGTTATTCTGGCCAATGCCTGGCAAATAGTTAAGATAGATGATATTGGAATAGTGCCCAGCATTAGTTGGAACTCTAATGGGCTGTAAAGAAAAGGACAGAAATAATGGGAGAAGTGATTTAAACCATGACACAGCAGGCGGTCTAATCAAATGAAGTCACCATTAGCTTTTATCTTACCTTCACAGTAGTGTAATTACTGCTTTCTTGGATGTGGATTAAAATGCCATTCTCGCCTCTTGTCCTGAATTTTACTTCCAGACTGTTCACACCAAAAGGCTCCAACATGGCACCTCGTATGCTCTGTCTTAACAAATATTCCCGTTTCTCATTCTGACTCATGTGGTAGTCCAAGCGTCCTTTGCCTTCTAATGATAAGGCAGTGTCAGGAGTAATAGCTGAAAGACAAGAAAGAAATGGAAAAACGAATGCATCCATTAGGAATTTCTTACAAAGTTTTCAATACTGACAAAAAAATTATCAAGAATGACAATGAAAATATTAAATTTTTGGATTAAATAATTCCTAACCCTACTCTAGAAAAAATAATTTCCATTTGTGAATTTTTATATAAGTTGATTTCAAATGCTTAAATTCATTTCAGAACCATGACATGTAAACCACTTTAAGACAGTCATTAATCATTTGGGAAATATTCACTAAAATATTTACCACATGATATAAATCATGAATTTCTGAAGACATAACCACCTATAGAAAATATTCACTTGAGAAAAGTGTAATCAGTTTCACTGTATTTCCAAAATTCATAAATGAATATACGTTTCCATAAAGTGGTTTGTGATCTTTAGTGTCTAGCATGTTAGAAATTTGGGCAAAGAAATGTTCAATCAAATATTTGCATTGGTTACTAACTTTATTTTCAGTAATTATCATGTATAATTTAATTTATCTCATGTAAAATCATTATGTACAATCACGGTTTTTCACAATCTGATAAAATTTTCATATTTCAGAAGTATGAAGTTTAAGTTATAGTAAAAAATAATATAGCTAAAGAAAGGACATAAAGGAAATGAGTGCAAAAGTATCTCAGCACTGGGCCGGCCCGGTGGCGCACTGCTACAGTGCGCCGCTTGGGAGCGCGGCGGCGCT